CCCCCCCCCCACGCTTCTCTCCCTAACCCTCTTTCTTGTAAGTCTTTCCTTATTTATCAGCGGAAAAATGTATTTCTCCCAAGAGATATGGGGAGTTTTTTTTTTTTTTTACACCCATTTGTATATATTCATCATAACAATCCCTCCTAGTCCCCTCCCCCCGCTGTGTATTGCTTTCCATTGTCTCTAAGGTGCTTTTTCTGGTTACCAGTTTACTACAACCCCCGCAGTGGAGAATTAGCACAAAGTCCGATATCAGTTGAGCGGGCCTTTGATATTTAGCCCTGGTCAGGGAAGGGCAGAAGCACAGCCCTGTATAATCAGTGCTGTGACTCTCAACCGGAAAAGAACAAAGACCACAGCTGAACACTTTAAGGCTATTTTTAATAGACTTCACACGGCAGAGATGGGTGTGGGAACAGTCACAGTAAAGCAGCTCAATAGCCACAAGAAGAAACGAGCACAGCAGTTTGAAAGCAGCTACAGACAGCAGGGCCTTAACTGAGCGAGTGCCGATTTAAACCCTGAGTGACATGACACAACCACAGAAAGATGGATGTACTGCATTTAGTGTGTATTTTAGATAATTATGACCCACCCCACCCCTGCTCCCTGGTAGTGGGGATATTTGTGTATGGGGGGGTGGAGGAAGTGAGGACATGATGTGCAAAGTTTTGGTTTCTGCAAGGACATGAATGATTTTAGGCACCTAAGCGGATCGTCTGCTTCTGTTCAAACTTGCCCCATATCTACTACCGAACCTGAAAGACAGTGTCTTCTACAAAACCCGTCTTCACCGACACAAAATAAGCATTTCAAGCACATATATGCACATTTCCTGCCAAAGATGAAGGCTGTGAGCTAGCCTAATGCTATATGAAATATGAAGCTGGCCTTTAGATTTGCATTCATAGGTAAGTGTTAGTGTCAGATGAAGTGGCTCAGCACATGGGGGCGTAGTGGTTAAGGAACTAGAGTTGTGATTAAGGTTGCTGGTCCAACTCTCATTCCTAGCCCTGCCCTGTTGAATGGTACGTAACCTATGTCTCGAAGTCAGTAGATTATTTTTTGGTCTGAAGGTGTCTGTCTGTGAGAGAGGCCCTTTTAAAGGTGGAGGCTGGTCTCCAATCAACCTGACTGTTGTGTTAGCAGCACAGAGAATGGATCTGGTAGGAAAGGTGACCAGTGCCATCGTACACAAATGTACACCTACTGCTGTGCTGTGCCTCGTGTGTGAAACTGAAAGTAAGCAGTGCAGAATATTGGAAGCCACCAGACTCCCAGTTTGGCTGAGGCACTTTGAATGGTAAGGACCTCTGCTCCCTCCCCCCGTGACGTACGTGGTACGATCCAAAATGTTTTTACAAAAAACAGCAGCACAATCGTGAATTGGAAATCAACAAAAGTGATTTCTGCCTAGCTAATAGCCTTTCTCACCTGGAGTCCTGCCAATGGAAACATTCATTTTGTACGTGGTATTTTAAGTGAGAAATTAAATACGTGCATAATAGATTACAAAAAAAAATAACATTACATTCAGCCAAAACACAACATCAAATAAAATATATACGAAGATGAACACAAGCACCACTGCCCTTATCACACTGCCAGGTGCAGGTTACACACACACACACACACACGTGCGACGTGTTCTGGACCAAAAGTGTTATGGCTGTTTGCTTTCTGTCAGCATGAATGATGGCTTTGACTGGGTTTTTATTACCCAACCCCTCTTCCAGTTTGTGTCTTGTGCTTTGCTGATGGTGCTGCTCATGTAGGTTGGTGCTATGGGTCCTTACTGACCACCTCCAAGATAAGTGGAGAGACGTCGGGCTGGATGTCCTGGATCTCGAGCACCTGCTTGGTGTACTCCTCGTTCATGGACCTCAGCTCTGTCAGACATGCCACGATCTTGGGGAACAGCAGGCTAGGGGTGGAGTTGACCAGTTAGATGCAGAGCAGTGGACACGCCCTTCTCTACACCAGTGTTTCCCAACCCAGTCCTTGGAAACCCATTGACGGTCCACATTTTTGTTCCCTCCCAGCTCCCGGTCAGACAGTCCACTGCAGCTCCCTGAGGACTGGATTGGGAAAAGCTGCTCTACACTATACCAGTAATAGACCGCATGCTTTGATCTTGCGCTAAGTGAGTGTTCTGACGAGATGAAGTAATCCTTGTGTTACACATCAATAAACAGCTATGTTATTAGCTTCTAGAGTGCTAACAGATCGGTAAATGGATGAATACATTTATTGACTGGTGGATCCTAAATTCACAAGTAGATATTCACAATGGAAAACATTATGCTAATTGTGGTTGTCAGTTGCTAATGGCTAATGGCTAAAGCCATTTATAGTCAGTGATTACTGGCGGTTTGGGAACATTTAGATTTCCCAATAAATTACACCGGTACCAGCAACAGCAGAGAACACTGGATTTAAGAGATTTAGTTAATAGTGAATGTCTTTCTGTCTAATAAATGTCTCTTAGGTTTTGTTGTTCAAACACATTACCTTTGGTTTACAACTGTTCCTAATTGTGTTTGCAGTTTTAGTAATAAATAACTGCAAAACAAATTCTGTTTTCCCTGCTGTACCAAAATCGCACCCAACCAGGAATTTTGTGCACCGTTACACTCCATTAGCTTCAGGTTTCAGGGTTGTACTTACCGCTTATCTGTGGACATCCTCTTGGACTCAATGTACGTCTTCAGCATCAAGGCAACCATTTCCTGGTGTCTGTCAATGGTCCCCTGGTCAGTCACACCTGGCCGGTCTGCATAGGCACCACAGGTGAGGAGTGAAATTGCTTGTGAAGCCTTGCCCTCTGTGTGACAATGGGCATCAAAGCATGACTGCCATAAAAGCAGGGCTGTGAGCTCTCAGTCCTGCTGTTCATTCCACCTGTTTCTGCTAACACAAGTTAACATGGTACTGCTATGGAGTTCATCTGCATGGAGGTATGTTTAGTAGGTTGAGGATTTTGCTGTGTGTGTGTGTGTGTGTGTGTGTGTGTGTGTGTGGTCCAGGTATACATTACATTGTAGGGACCAAAAGCCCCCATAATGTGATACAAACCTGTTTTTTTGATGTGCGGACCATTTTTCCGGTCCCCACAAGGGGAAACTCAATTTTGTAAAAAATCTGTAACTGCAATCAAAAAATAAAAAATGCCAAAAGTCTTGTATTTTGTTCGGTTACTTATGCTAAAGGTTAGGGCTGGGTAGGGTTGTCATTGTTGGGATTAGGATTTTGCTGATAGAAATAGATGGATGGTCCCCACAATGATATGAGCGCAGGTCTGTGTGTCTGTGTGTGCGTGTGCAGATTTGGCCCCGGCATACCTGGAGAAAACAGGGAGATGGCCTGCATCAGTACATACTCAGTGTCGTCCAATCGCAGCTTCCGCAGTGTGTAGTGGAACTTCATTAAAGGGTCCAGCAGGTGGCGCTGGAAACCCGCTGTGCCAGAGACAAAATGGAACTCAACACCTAAGGACACTGAGGCCACAGGTATCCCTTACACAAGGGTTCACTCTGAAGTCTGTGAATTGTGCTGCAACCCAGCCAGAGATTTTTCAGAAATTTACCGGTTCAGGTATTGCAATCAAAGGCTGCTCTGCCAGAGTATTCTAATTATAGTGAAAGTACTTGTCATAAAAATGTCCATTTAGAATGTGCCAACCAGCTGAAATCAAGCACTTTGTCACTTGTCTGAAATGAAAATGACCCAGAAAATGACCATAAATGGTCTCAATTTTGTTCCTGCTTCCACAGCAACAAAGTCTCCGTGGTTACCAGCCCAGAGCAGGAGAAGTAGGGTGCAGAACTGCTAACAGTGGCTGTTAGCACCTGTTGTTTTCCAGTACGGCAGAAGCATGTGGCTAACTGAATCCCATAATTCCCTGTCTTACACCTGTGGTGGGGGTGGCGGTTCTGTAGCTCCATCTGATAGAACTCTGTCCTCAGTATTTCTCACGCAGCTGTGACACCGGCGTTCCCCGAAGCTCACCGCGGGCAGCGTCATCCATGCAGTAGGACAGGGCCCCGCACTCCCAGACGCCCGTCTCATCGTTGAACAGCATGTTGAATCGGATCTGGCACACCTCAAACATGGCACCTTTCAGCAGCGAGATCTGGTCCTCCATGGAAAGCTCCCTGGGGGGGGTTCAGGAGACCGGACATCACAGTTTAACACACCTCTGGTACTACACACTGTCAGTGAGGTTAGAATCAATATCAGTAAAGCATCTTCTTCTGTTGCTCACCTGAAATATGAGATGAGCTTGGCAAAGCTAATGATTTGCTGGATCATGTAGGTTGTGAGGTCAGCGATGTGAGGCAGCGTGATGAAGACTCTGCTGCTCGCATCTGTTGCGTCTGGCCTCTCGTCGCAGTTTGAGGGAGAGGAGAACTGGAATAGGGCCTCTTCTTGGGGAGATGAGAAGGCTGGGCTGGGATCCAGGAGCATTTGGCCGTACTCGTGCATCGGGGCCAGGTTACGGTCGATGGGCTGGGGCGATGATGGGAACAATGGGTGAGACCGTAGGCAGGACCAGCGTACCTGTGGTCGCAGTACGCGAGTGGAGACCTCATACCCTGAACTTCTTAAAATCGACGAACGACACGTCGAAGGTGCTCCTCTGTGCCTGCAGCAGCTCCTGAACGGCCCCCTCCTGCTGGGGACTCAGCACCAGTGGCTCGGCCCGTTTTCGCTTCTGCTTCAGTATGTGGCGTCGCTGCTCCAGCTCCTCGTCAGACATGATCACTGGGGGAACATGGGGGCGGAGTCAGCGCTCTCACTTAGCTGCCGGATGCGCGGCACATGGCGGCAAACTCACGCTCCTTCAGCATGCCGATGCTCTGGCACTTCTTCAGCCGGCACGCCTGGCACTGCCGCCGGTTGCTCTTGGTGATAACACAGTTTCCCCGGAAGGGGCAGCTAAAGCTGGCCGGCCTCTTCATGGCTCTCCTGCAGTGAGTCACAGATGAGTCAAAGCGGAGTCAGAGCTGCTCCTGGCATGATCTGTGCTGCCGTGAAAAAATACTGCGCTGACTGCTAACCAAATCGATGGCACACGGACACCCAGATGTCTGTAATGAATCATTCCAGGCTCCTACGGGAGGTAATTTCGTCAAGCAGCTCTGCGTTCCACTTGGCACGTTTCCTACCTATAATTGAGCACTGCTTTTATGTCTGTGCTAGGACTGGTTATGAAAGCCTGTTGGGGAGCAGTAAATGGCCACATTAAATCCAGCGAGGATAAAGGAATCATCATGCCCTAGAATGAAGGAAGACACTGGGTCCTGAGTCACGCAAATGTGTACTTCACCGGTCACTATGTCCTAAAAGGAAAGGAACTGCAAGCTCGTGTGTGACCCTGAGGTCGGCTGGAACAAGGGAGAGCGTATCTTTGGGGACTGCAGTGGGAAGAGGTGTAAGAAAACCAGCATGGGGAAATGCAAGCAGTGCATTGATGTTGGGTCAGTGGTGGCCTAATGGTTAGGGCTTTGTGTTTGTGATCAAAAGGTTGCTCCACAGGCCATTAATAATAGCTACCCTCTGCTATGTCAGGATGTCACATCTGGGTTAAATGCAAAGGACACATTATGTTGTGGTGTGTCAACCATGACAGTTAATCACTTTCACTCAAGTCAAAAGCAGCCAACTTGGCACTGGAACCGGTGAAACACAAGGGGATGAAACCAGGATTTCAGCATCTGTGTGCTTTTGCTGCTTGACGCAGAAGGTGGTTCCTGCTAGCGCCCTCGAGTGGCCAGATGAGATGGGAGTATATTGGTGTTTAACGTCTACATTTGGTTTTATTTACCATATCCTTTTAGCCAAGTGAGGCAAATAGCACATTATGAGACATACAGCCGTCATGTCGAATAGCCTTACGTGCAGTTGGCTGATCCCTGGCTGTGCTGGGCTTCCTTAATGAAATAACAGAACCGCTGATATTCCCTCGGTCCCTCCTGCCCCTGCCTGGACCCTCCTCTCCCGCTCTCCTCACACCTCCACCTGCCCGCTCCACCACAATCTGCCTCACCTGAAGAAGCCCTTGCAGCCTTCACATGTCAAAGCGTTGAAGTGGTATCCTGTAGCCTGGTCGCCACACACATGACACACCTTGGGCTCTTCGTCTTCCTCGTCAGCGCTGGTGTCCTCCTCCGGGCCGTCATCTGTGGGGCGCCTTAGCTCCTGCGTGTTCATGCTGACCTGTAACGACGAATCCATGACGATTAAACACACGGAATGGAGCTCTGAAAGAAACTCAGCTATCACTTCATACTATAATGGTGGCACCTTCTTCTGGACCTTCAAACTGTGTTTCAAAAAAGGAAATAAGCTGTTTACCCAAATATAAATATTTTTGTATTCGTTATTAATTTTATAAATGAGAATGTCTTACATTTTCAAAACAATAAACATTCCTGTACAAAAATCATATGCAAATTGTAAGTGCATTTCCTATTTGTATTATTTTGATATAATTTGGTTAGGGGAGGAAAAACTATTTACGTTTATCATTTTAATTATAATTAATACAATTTTATTCCAGGCCTGATTCTTTAGCATTTTTGGTTTATTTTCCACAGTCCTCGTAAACCACCTTCTCAGAAATCAAATGCAAGTTTTTGCTGCCAAGTAAAGGTCCCAACAGAGAGAGAGAAGGGTTACACATCTGAGTAAATTCTGGTCAAATCTGTCTTCAGCATCTCCCCCCATGATGCAGTATCTTTCATTTTCCAAGCTAACCTGCTTTGTCCCCCAACATTTCTTATTAACGTCCACAAATCATGGCATAGAATTTTACCTTTACAGGCGAAAAACACAGACACACAAAAAATCCTGAGTTCACTGAAAAATTCAAGCCGCGAATATTCAAAACCACTTTGGCTACTTACATGACAGTGCAAAAGTCCCGCTGCCTGGAGATATCCACCATACGAAGAGTAGGGAAGTAGACAGTGTTGGGACCGGGGACGCGCGGCAGAGAGAGGTGCACCAGAGCTCAGCACCTTTACAGACCTGCCCTTCAGGGATGCATGTCTGAATCTGAGCGAAACAGTTGCCAGATAAAAATAAGCCAACCAGGATTCCGCTGTTACCATGGCACCCATTGACGACAAGATGGAGCCATAACCTTCCACCAGAGATGGAAAGCCCGTCTTCATGAGCTTCTTTTTACAAGGGTTAATTGGAGCAGAACCTGGTTTGCTTACATTCTTTGGTACCTCCCCCTGGAAAAGCATTGCTAACCACTTTTCCGCCCAGTGTGAGCGATGCAAGACTCAACGGACCGCTGTGGCGGCACAGAGAGGCTGGGCGGGTTTGCTTTCACTTTCTGCACCGTGTTCCGTAGCACCGTCTGTTGCATGCCTTGGTTGCCTTTAGCATTAATTCCAAAGACACATTTTAGTTGAGCAATGGCTCCATATTCCACACATACATCAAGCTTGAGTTCACGTCCCATGATACTTAAGGCAGTAAATGTTATGGGTGTCATGGAACTATGATAATTTAACTTAAACGTTTGAATTTTTTTTTATTTTTGTCAATACCGAGTTATATACATTAGTTGCATATTGGGTGACTCCGCCATTTAGATTACATTTCTATTCCATAGCTTGTTATCAATTGAAATGGAATGGAATTGCAAATTAGAGATACTACAATGAATGCTACAGATACTCTAGTGTTCTCCCTTACACCTTTCGCCACATACTACTATGGGAGAGGGGGGGGGGGGTACCTTTCACACTCACACCCTCCCACCGCAGGTGTTTCTACAGAGCCTGCTCAGAACACTATGTAGCTAATCAAAAGTCCTTTCACTGCACTTAATGCTTAAAGACTATTCTTTATCCTGATCATAAGTGACTATTTGGTGTCAATAGTTATTAGCCCAGACTCTCACTCCAGGACCCATTCATGATTTTATGTGCAAACAACCAATGTAGTCAAAATACGTAAAAAAAATAGAGAGGCAGGAGATGCTGTAATGGTAGGAGGCTGATACACAAAATGAATGAGCCACAAGGCCCTGCAGGCTAATAGGTACTTAGCACATGGGAGAAACCCAGGTCAAGCTTTTGGCCCTGAAATTGTACAGAAATAGCTTATGAAACAGGCAAAACAAAACGATCCATGAAAAGGCTCCAATCAGCATAGATCAAACTGTGCAGATGCTCCAAATATGGCGAGGGCACAATCACAAGTACAAATTCTCTCCATGCCTCAGGACAAAGAATGCGTCAGCAGCATCTCCCGTCTTAAATCAGAGGCAGAAATAGCAAAACCCCCTAAGCTGATGGAAACATGGACTGGCTACTTCACAATGGCCTGACCAGCAGGCTACTGGAACCAGGTGGTTCTGGTCCATATGGACTAGACAGTGAGGACCCCGAGTTTTAATGAAGGTGCGGGCAGACAGTCATGCTAAGACCAGTTTCACACTATAACACATGCAAACGCTGGCTACCGAAGACCAATACCAATGGGAATTCACCGAGGTGACATTAATGGATGGTATAGAGATCAAACGGGGGGGGGAGGTTTCCCATTCCTTCTCCTCTGTAGGTGTATTTCAGCTTTGACATTCTGCAACTTGGTAACAAGCATCCATGCCAATGAAGGAAAGTCCCAGCAGAGGACAGAATGCGTGGTTTTTGAAGCTACGTCACATACAGACTTGGCAATGGCTCCGGCAGAGAAAACACTGGACCCACCTTCAGAAACAAACATGGTTTTACATTGTTTGGTTTACAGCAAAGAATAAAACAGTAGCAGCTCTTAAAAGCTGCTTAAGTTGCCCGCAGAAGTTTCATTCAAGGATTTTTTTCGAGCTGAAAATGGAACAATAGAGGTGGTGATTCTGTTTTATTCTGTGGAAGCAGTGTGGTGACCCATCCAGGTTTATAGCTAACTCAGATACAAAAGAATGCATCGGGGAGAGGGTCAAGGAGATTTTGAAGAAGACATGTCTTATGTAATTCACACAAGGTAGTCTCTTGTAGGGATGTGGCAAGATTCCCTACTGGTCCAATATACATTCATCAAACCTGACAGAGGAAGAACTGATACCATTAAATGAACCAGCCTTTGACCTTTTTTCTGTTTTCTCTGTACTGGACCCTAAATGACACTTCACCTCACAGCAATGAAAGGGGAGCTTGGTGCATCTCTTTGAGATTTAACTCTTGAGCTACTGTCATTATTCTAGTTTACTTGAGAGAGAGAGAGAGAGAGAGAGAGAGAGAGAGAGAGAGCACAAACTGATATGGCATGTTGCCACACCCACCACACAACGATCCACCTCAGGGATGAGAACCTAAGTACAGCCGGGAGGCAGGTGTCACCTCAGCACCACCATAGTCCGAATGGAATGGAACAGTGTGAAGTTTTTTCCCGTGACTCGAGCGCCAATCCTGCCACCAACCCTCAAATTTTTTGAGGACCTGTTTGCAAGACGAGATGTAGGGTAATGTCATAGCCAAGACGAAGCAACTGCAGGTCAAGGGCCTCGCTCAAGGGCCCAAGGGAGTAGAATCACTCCTAGCATTCATGAGATTCAAACTGGCAACCTTTCAGCTGCCAGTGCAGACGCCCTAGACTCAGAGTCACCACTCCATCCTAGTTTATTGGTGGACCACTGTATACTTGAAAGGAGGGCACACGGCTGTACACTGAGCTCATCAGCGCGCCCAACCGTAATCTGCTACGGTCGTCTGGTACCTTACATTTCACCCCCTTGGCCAAGTCCACACTTGTCCGTTCCAGTCTCATCCAGAAGAACACTTGGAACAAACCTCCCCCATTCGCTGAGAAATCCCCCGCGAATCCCCACTAACCGCCATATGGAGTGTTTATCAGTGAAACCGGTTTCGATGTGCGTACGCATCGTTAGAAGTGAATCTGCATGCATGGGTGTTTAAAAGCACGCCTACTCCGGTAAACATTCCAGCGCTTCAAGAACACACAAAAAACTCAAGCTGGCAGGATGACCAGATATGGCTCTAACTCCATCATATAGTTTGCTGATGACGCGACCATTGTGGGCTTGATCACCGACGGCCCACAGAGAGATGGTGAGGCTGCTGGCAGAGAGGTGCCAGGACGGTACACTACACTAATGTGCAGTTTTAGGCCTAATACTAAACTCTATGGCTGCCAGCTACAGTCAGTCCTGCTACAATGTGACTAATGCATTCCTGAAAACCTCGAGTTCACTAAAGTCACGTACTAAATACATATATCCAATGACGAAAAAATAGGGTTATGGGAATGCAACTCCAAAATGAGTAACTTACGCCAAACTAAATGAATTAAATATGCGGATTTCTCACACATGGTCATTAACCCGTCGTCATCCAAAATTCGCTTAATTGAAACAAAAAAACTGACCTATTGGGTCTCAGCGTTGGATGACAGCTTCACCAGAAAAACAAAGCAGGTTCCAGTCACGCACAGACCACGTTCTGCCACCACAGCGGTGTCACGTGTCTTTAAGTAACCCCCAGCTTAGTGTCCCTCTTCTACAGCATGTAATTTGAAAAGGGCATCGTCTCACTCACAATAGAACAGCTGAAGATCACGTTAGATGGATCTGATTGTCTAGAGAGTATACAGCCTGGGGTTACGTTCTTATAAGCCTATCATACAGTGCAAATAGCGTAAGGTGAAAATGCATTTTAATACAGTACCCCTAACCTAACAAACATCATAGCCTAGCATATAGTCTACCTTAAACATGCTTAGAACACTAAGCACAGTAACTACAGTTGGGCAAAATCATTAACACAAACCCTACTGTATAATAAAATGTTGAACATCTCATGTAATTTATTGAATAATGTACTGAAAGTGAAAAATATTTATCCATCAAAATTTTTAAATCAGATAATTTTGTTACAAGAATTCATCTTTTTTAAATTGGTAGGCTTCCTGTTCAACAGCTCAAAAAATGCTGTTTTAGGCCAGGAACATACAAATACAGACTATTGTAACCTGGGGAGCGTCTGTATTTGTATGTTCCTGGACTAAAACAGCATTTTTTGAGCTGTTGAACAAGAAGCCTACCAATTTAAAAAAGATGAATTCTTGTAACAAAATTATCTGATTTAAAAATTTTGCACTGAAAGGAAGACAGGAAACACAACCTTTTTCTACTTCACAGCTCAAATTGGAATTTGATGGTTTACTGCAAGTCTGCCTAGAAACACACTTTCTCTGTAAGCCCTGGCACAGCATGCCAGCAGAATGCTGTTTTTTTTAAAGTCATTTTAAACCATTTGGTGGTTCTTTTGTAATGGGGGAAAAATCAGAATGCTGCACAATTCTGTACTCTTAGCTGCAATTATGTGTAACCTTAAGTTCCACCTCTGTTCCAGTAGCACTGACGGAAATTATTTAATGGCAGGCCCACTTTAGCATACGCTAAAGGATTTTGCTTTGTGTCCAGGGACCGAAAAATGTGGGCAAGGTGTTCTTAGACTGGGACACCCACCCAATATAGTCAAAGAGGACGGATTAGCCCGTCATGCAGATGGTGAGGAAGTACACAATCCTGGAGGGAACATCATGTACACTGAGAGCAACGGGAGTAAATTCCGTGACCCTGTCAGTTCTTGCTATTCTGCTAACCTGATCACGAGTAAGCCCATCTGAACAACATACCATTCTTCCCGGGCCTGTTTAAGGGCGCTTTTCCACTGCACCAGGTGCCGTACTTTTGGTATGGCACTTTAGCTTTTCCATTGACTTCCAGTCGAGTACCAGTACTAAACTTACAGTCCTAAAAAGTACTTTGGGGTGGGACTTTCAAACATGTTCACTGTCAACTGGTTATGCAAATAGCCGGTCTCTGAAATGCAATACAACCGCCGTCTTCAGAAAAGTTCCAAACACAGAGAACAATGAACAAAGTAAAAAAAAAAAAGTAATAATAATGTATGCATGGATAATTAAAGAGGCTTAATATTTAATTGTAATCAGGTCGGAAAAACCAGAAGAAGATCTGGTTGGCGTTTTCTGTGTTATGACTCCCATCATAATGAGATAAGCTCACCCCCCCCCAGCCTGGAAGCATGAGGAGAAATAGTTGTGTGCATTTCTTACATATCTGCCAGTGACACGAGGGTTTAGTCGCACAGCAAGGTGAGGGGTAGGCAGCTTGTCAAACCACACGTTCCCCTTCAACAAGAATCACTCACAGCTTCTCTGGGTAAATATCACCTTTAATAAACTGTCTCTTAGTAGCACAACGATCACAACAGATGCTATATTAAAATAATTTATAGTGTATGTACGACTTCACGCTGAAGACAATTAAAGCATTTCTTTCATTTGGGTGCTGAAATGAAAACTGTGAACTTACATACATTTCAAGGAAACGTCTTTAATGAAGAGCTCTGCTGTCACAACATCCCCTGCTTTAAATGTAATTTGGAGTAATAACTATAGGCAGCACTATGGGCTGCACAGTGACTGCAGGTTGCTGTTGGGAACGCCGCATGCTCACTGTGTGCTCCAAGTCCATTACACCATTAACAACCTACTAACAATGGACTGAGGTCTAGCGCAACTATGTATGTTGAACATTGCAAATAATAATTGTGAATTACTTCACCTATCTTTTACAGCGATCTGAAGACAGATCCAATTAAAAACAGCTGCATCAAGCCATACAGGGTCGATATTGGTAAACTGGGACAATTTTAGAAAAATTACTTTCTCTGTCACTTTAAAAATATGATCCTGATCAGAAATATTAAAACATAAAAGTATTGCTGAAAGTTCAAGAACTGAGCTTAAGTTAACAGAACACAGAGGTGTAAAAATATATAAGATCATACATATAAATGTTCCAGATAACCATTTGCCTCACTTAACCAACATTCACCTTACATATAAACACTATTAATTAGTGAAATTAATTAATTAACACACACTGCTGTCAGTGTAACATGAAGCACACGGCCATGTAATCTCCTAATGCAATTAACACTGGCAGCAGAATGGACCGGAACAGTAGAGATGTTAAAGACTTTCGCTTCGGACCCTTGTTGGCCGTCTTTCCAGCAAGTCAGTTTGCCCAATTTCAACCTTGTAAGACCAGCCCTGGTCAACAGCAAGTGACTATCAAGCTGAAACGCCGGGGGACAAACTCAGTTATAACGTGGTAAAGCCACACAAACTCTCAGAAAGGGCTTTGGACAATCACACAACATTAATACCCAAACTGAATGGCAGCAGATCCCACCAGCAATGTCCCAGCATCTAAGGGAAAGTCCTCCCAGAATAACTGAGGCTATTATAGCGGTAAATGACCAAAGTTATATAAATGTCCTTGGTTTTGAAATAAAATACAACTCTGCTTCCAAAAAAGTTGGGATGCTGTGTTAAATAGGCAACAGGTCAGTAAGATGATTGGGTATAAAAAGAGCCTCCCAGAGGCTCTGTGCAGTGAAGATGGGGAGAGGTTCAGCACTCTGTGCAGTGAAAATGGGGAGAGGTTCAGCACTCTGTGCAGTGAAGATGGGAAGAGGTTCAGCACTCTGTGCAGTGAAAATGGGGAGAGGTTCAGCACTCTGTGCAGTGAAAATGGGGAGAGGTTCAGCACTCTGTGCAGTGAAGATGGGAAGAGGTTCAGCACTGTGAAAGTCTGCATGGGCAAATAGTGCAACAATTTAAGAATAATATCCGTCAACATAATATCGCAAAGAATTTGGGGATACCATCATCTAAGGTACATAATACCATTGAAGGATTGAAGAAATTTCTGTACGCAAAGGACAAGGGTGAAAACCAGGCAGCTCTGCACTAAAAACAGACACAATTCTGTAGTGGAAATCACTGCATGGAGTCAGGAACAATTCTCAAAACAATCATCTGTAAACACAGTTCATTGCTGCATCCAAAAATCCAGGGTGAAACACTACTGAACTACTAAACATGATCCAGAAATGCCGCCTTCTACTCTGGGCCTGAGCTCATTTAAGAAAATGTCCTGCGGTCTGACGAATCAAACGTTCTAATTCTTTTCAGAAATCATGGACGCCACATTCTCCGGGCTACAGAGGAGAGAAACCATCCAGCTTATCAGTAACCAGGTCAAACGTCATTTTCATAGAAGGCCTTGTATATTTCAGCAAGACAATGCCAAACTGCATTCTGCATATATTACAACAGCATGGCTCCGTAGGAAAAGAGTCTGGGTGATAGACTGGCCTGGAATCATGGAATGAAAAATACGCCAATGAGACCCCAAACTGTTAAGCAGTTGAAATTCTATATCAGGCAAGAATGGGACAACATTTCACTTTCAAAAGTCCAGCAAACTGGTCTCCTCAGTTCCCAAATGTTTACAGAGTGTTGTTAAAAGAAGAGGTGATGCAACACAGGGGTAAACATGCCCCCGTCCCAACTTTATTAAAACATGTAGCTGGCATCAAATTCAAATTGAGCATGTATTTCTCATAAAACAATAAAAATTCTCAGTTTCAGCATTTGATATGTTGTCTTTGCTCTGTTTTCGGTTAAATAAGGGTTTATATCATTTGCAAATCATTGCGTTCTTCTTTTATTTACATTTTACCCAGCGTCCCAACTTTTTTGAAAAGGGGTTGTATTAGACAAGTTAGTGTCCACATACTTTTGCTCTTATTATGTACTAAAGTGCCACTATGGGTTATTTAACAGAGGATATTAATGACCAGAACTACAGCCGTAGAACCAAGCATCCAACTGCAAACTTCAGTTCACCAAATCAGATGACACTGGTTACAAAGAACAAAAAACAAGACCATTCATATGTATGCACACAGGACCCAAACACGAACCTGGTTCTCGCAGTCAGAATCAGATCTGGTGTCTGTGATCTGGTACAGTTTGATATATCTTCAACCACTTTGACCCTGGCATTGGGACACAAGACCTTCCAGATGAGATATTCTGGAAATATCATAAACAATAACCTGTCTAAGGGATGCTCATCATTACTGAAAGTTTTTGACCTTGGTTCAGTTTAAAACATTTAAATTTTTAAATAATGTATATATTTATAATTTTATGTCTAAAGACGTAATTGACTGCAGTGGTGTAGAGGTGTATTGTAATTGCCCATCTTCGTGTGGTCTGCCGGCGGACCTGCGTGTGTTGCAGGTGTTAGTCCCACACCTGGATAACTCCGTTTTTCCGCATGCCACCCTTCGGTGAACGCTATAAAGGTGGACGTGGTATCTTTCTTAAGAATCGATCGCCGATCGCAACTGAAAATATGAACACATCGAAACGGCTCGGTATGGGAAAGTGGGGAGCGAAGTACTTACTCTGACATAACGGCAGGGTGGTCAGCAAACAATCCCCTTACACGGGCCCCTAAGCGCGCTCACATCCAAACTATCCGGACTAACGAAGCGAAAGTTGTAAGCGGCGTCGCACTTGCGCACGACCCGACAGCGTCCGCCACCTCTTCCTGGTTACTGGAGTCATAAAAAACAGCAGTTTTGAAACGCCTTGTCTTGTCCTGTCCCGCCCCCCGCTCCTACCAGGCGTGATCCGCACCCAACACCTGTTTGCGCCCCGCGCTATCAACAATTCTTTTTCAATCGGGGTTACTGACGCTCTTTTCCACTGCTGCTCACCAACTTCCACCCCTAGATACGATGCACCTGTATCCCGTATCATTTTTTAAATATGGTTCAAGCACTCTTTTATCGTTTTATTTACATTTTCTTTAGAAGACACTTTTTATTCATAGTCCTTGGAGCATTTGGGGGAAATCAAATGAACTGAACTGAAATTATAACTATTACCTTCTGTTAAAAGCACAGCATCCTAACCCGCTGAAGGCCTATTTTATATTCTGATGCCAAAGCTGGGATTCTGATCACAGGTGCATCTATCCGACGCGTGTAACTCCCCCTTACTCACACAAGCGCACAAATACTGAACTGGCACAGGCTCGACCTCTGGCCCTTCAACACTACTATAATGACCTCTAATCAGCCGAACTCTTTAGCTTGATTATGTGCAAAAACACAATATAAAAACCCACTGTTGTTGAGCTGCTGTATATGTAATAGAGTAGGAAAAGAGTTTGATATTGGGGGTGGGCACAAATTAATAATTTAAAGGCAAAAGTTTATTTATAGTTGGTGAGGGGAGGGTGAATGAAGCCAAATTTAATACTGGGGAGCACACGTCCCCCCCACCAACAAATCAGATGTCTTGGTCCAGCCCCTTCTATTTGCTTGGACCCACTTCCTCTAAAAGCAATCTGATTGGCTATCTCTCTAAACCAATCATTTTTTTTATTTGCCCTCAGAACATTTCTGTGTAAATAAAACTCCCATGAGTCCCCATAAAGTGTTGGGCCCCCTGACTGGAATCTATTCAGAATCATTTATTTGGTTCTCCCCCTCATGTTTCTCGAACAAAAGAGTCCCACCTCACTGTGAAGTGAGCACACAGGGACAGATGTGGGAGCTGTATCCTTCAATGGCCTGATGACTAATTAGGACTGAGAGAGCCATGGATGAAAGTGTGGAGAATAATGGGCTGGATCATTAGGTCCTAACTGACTGCAGCACAGCCACTTGAGCGTGGGACTCGGAGCTTTGCTGCATTTCATGCTTTTAGAAAGGGATGAGGGGTCAAGGCTCTGCCTTCCTTCGGATCTATGGGCTAAACGGTTTCGAAAAACCAGACGTGATGGGCGCCTCAGCTGCCCTCGCTTCCTGTTTGCTGATCAACTCGGGAAGCCGGAAGCTTTCCGGTGTCTGTCCCCTCTGACTGGCCCAGCGCATCCTCTGCGATGCGGGCAGCGGCCTGTGAAGAAGGTGATGAGGACCTGGGGCCAATGTAGGCATCTGCCTCTCCGTGGATGAGCTGGTGAGCGGCCTGGAGATGCCTTCGCTGGTTCTCCCTCACTGCGGGACACATGTTTTGTTATTCACTCCCCTGTCCCACTAACCCCCCCCCCTACATTATCACCCCCCCACACTGCAGGACGCGGCCACCACTGCATATGTGTTCTGCCTGGCTACACTCGCTCTTCCTGTCTGACCGGATTCAGCTCACAGGCCTTAGCAGGCAAAAAACATGCAAAAAAAACTTTGAAACACAATGAACTGTTCAGTTTCTCCTGATCTCTCTCCTCCACGAAGCAGGATTTCTGGCTTATCGTGGAACACCCCCCTGCTCTGATCAGTGGCAGAGCTGAGAAGATAATGCAGTTTACAATATTACAATGGTGTATTTTTCTAAAAAAGAGAGAAGAATGCATTATTAAATGACAATACAATTATAGTAATGAGTTCTGAATCTAAAAATAAAGGAAGTACTACCTCCAGTACCTCTATGGACCTCTGGGTCTGATATATAAGAAGTAAACAGCCGTCCTTCAATGAGGTATCAGTGTGTGAAATACCTGATTTCTTTTTATTACTGAAATACCTGATTCCAGTAATAACAACGTGACCTTTAAGCTCTGTGATAAATGGTTCCCAGTAGGCAACGAAGTCTGTGGTTAAGGGTGCTGCACAGGAGCCCACCTCTCTGCCTCAGGGTGATCTTCTGCACCTCAGGGATCAGGAAACTGTACACCATCTCAGCCACCATCTCCTGAGGCTGCAGGCTGGTGCGTCTGTGGAGGTGCAACATGAAAGCTTCCAATCAGCAACAGCGGTGAGAATGAGAAGGAGACCGTAACTAGGCCATGATAGATGTCAGTGGCAGATTCCCGCCTCAGTCAGGATCTCTAGATGGGCTTCCTCGGATGTCCCTGTGATGAAGTCACAACCCCATAACCGAGACACATACACCTTCTCCATGGAGTAGGCGATGTCGTTGACTTCCTCGGCCATCTTGCGTATCTCTTCTCTGGCCTGTTCATCGGCGGTCTTTTCTATGCTTCCCAGGATAATGTCCTCCAGGTAGAGGTCCACAGTCTCCTGGTGCACCTGAACCACCTGAAAGACAATGCTTGCTAGATGCTGTGCTGGGACAGAGCTTCAGCCTCTAGCTGAAGTAACCCTGCCAGTGCATGTGCATAAGACCTCACAAACCTGTCTGAAGATCTCGTCCTCCTCGCGGCGACGCCTCTCCTCCTCCTGCCTCCTCCCGCTCTCCTCTGCCTCACGCCGCCGGCGGTCTCGCTCGGCCAGCAGTGCCAGGGCATGGATCCGCCGTTCCTCCTGCACACGCACCACCTCCTTGGACAGGAAGTCCAGCATGTCTGCCAGCACCCCGGCTGCCATGCCTGCCTGGAGGCCCTCAGCCATCCACACCTACAGAGAATAACATAGAGATACTTCGAGTAGAAATTGGATAACCTTGGTCCATGGGAGATGAACACACACTTAAATATACAGGCACATTTGGGATCAGACAGTATGGTTAGCTAGCACTCAGAGGTCTTGCTCAAGGGCCTAACAGTGATATGCTTACACTTGGGATTCAAACCCAAAACCTTCTGGATATGGGCACAGATCCATAACCAGCTGGACTACATATCACCACTAAGGTGTTTTTAAATGCTTCTCAAGCCACTTTGCAGTGCCCCTCCACTTTCCGCATGTGCTGTGTGTGTGGAAACGGTGCCAAACCTTGTGCTGGTGCATCTCTCTCAGGCTCTGCATGGTCAGAGTGGCCTCTTTGTCAGCCTGCTTCAGCTCCTGCTCTTCCCGCTGCAAGGCATGAGTGCTGCGCAGCTCCTGGATCAGCTCCAGATGCTTCATCTTGCCCTCAAACATCTGAAGGACATGTGATGTGGACTCACTCATTGGAATATGCAGCTACGGTCTTTATGTTTTGGGGCTCATGTGTCGTTTTTGAAAGCATTAGCGGGGAAAGGTGTTCACGTATAGACTCACCATGTTCTGGATGCTTCTGCCCCTCAGCAGCTTCTGCAGGTTGATGATGGCCAGCTCCCTGTCCTCCTCCCCCTGAAGGGACAGATCAAGGCACATTACGGAGAGTGTGGAGATGTGGACCAGGAGCTGACAGTGAGAACAGCTGACCTCTGGGGGAACCGCTACGCCTGGCGTGGGGGGGCGAGGAGCAGGCTTCTCCATCCTCTGGAGGAATCTCAGGGGCTTGTTCTCCTTTTGCACTTTCACTTCCTTCAGCTCCTGGGTGAAGGTCACACAATTTTATCCAAAGCCACATACCATTGAGAAAGCAGGGTCGGCCAGCCCCTGAACCAATATAAACTGTATGGCGATATCCCTCTAGTGCAGGGTTCTTCAACTCTGGACCTCGATTCCAAATCCAGGCCGTGTTTTCAGTTCTCCCAGGTAGTTGTTTAATAATTACTAATTCTGATTGGTCAGAGGCTTCACACCTGACTGACAGGTACAGTAAAGGAAGGCTGGAAAACCAGCAGTGCTCGGACCTCGAGGACCGTGAGTTGAATAACCCTGCTCTAGTGGTTCTGGGACTTGTCACAGCTTGTGACATTGCAGGCTGCAAGTCAGGACTATAACAGGAAACGTAGTCCGGTGTCAATGTGCATACATGAAGCACTGCTAGCCATTTCCCCATGGCCGCTGTACCTGGTACGTCCTGTCCAGCTCCATCTTGTAGCGGTCAGAACGTTTCACATACCCCTTAGCAACCTTTGGCTTGGGGGCAGTGATACAAGGCAGTAAGGCTGAAGCAGGAAGGCCTGCTTCCAGTTCCAGTAAGCCTGTACAGGAAGTGATGATGAAACAGGAAGTGATGTCAGTAAACCCAATGAAATGGCACAGGAAGTGACCCCATCACTGTCACCATCATCAACTTTGTGAACCACACACTATACACACATGTAATGCACATTGGTGTTGGGCGGAGCCATTTCCAATTTAACATTATCAACCCCAAGCGTTTCTTGTTATTGTTTAAGAGACAAAAGCTGGACCTTGGTAGGTACTGAGGAATCGGCTCTTCACCACGTTGCTCTCCGAGTGACGATCAGGAAGCAGCCCGGAGCGGGAGAGCGGTGCATAGACCTGGGACCCGTAGTTACAGTAGTCAGTGACGGTGTCTCGCCTCTCCAGCTTCCCTTCCACGTTCCTCCTCTTGGCCATCAGCTTCCGGATGGCTGCGGAAGGGATGAGGGCGATCTGGTGAATTGATATTCTCACGGAAGGTCGGTGGGTCACTCAACAAGCGATTAGCACACACTGCGGTCTGTTAGATCAGTGGTTCTCAATTGTTTTTTGCCTGGTGACCAACCAAAAAGCAATGGTCAAATCTCACCACCCATGTCTTTCCTGAAATGCTTTATGTCAGGAGAATTCCATGAGGTCCAAATTCCATCAGAGACACAAAGCCAAGAACTGAAAATAAATTTCGCCAAACAGGTCTGTTTTTATAATTTTCAAAATTACAGATAACAATAGTGTTTTATTTGCGACCTTACAGTTTCAGAACCACTGTGTTAGACAAAATCTTGTAGAACGCCCTCAGATACCAGCACCTGTGTTTCTTAGGGCCAGTGGAGGCTAGTGGCTCTTACAGAGAACATAAGCTCGCCGTATTTTGCTGATGCGGGCATCTATGCCACTCTGGAGCACAGTGTGATGTGTTTTCAGCTGCTTCTCCGTGATCTCCTCCTTCCTTCGCTCCCTCTGCTGGAGCAGCCTCATGAGGAGGTCCAGTCGTGCCTCCTGCAACCTGGGACAGGGGGACATACTCAAAAAAATCAGGACAGACTGGGCAGAAAATGCAGGTATGTTATCAGACACCGGCAGAGATTAGGCCGGGTCACAGCTAAGTGGCGTTCCAGCAGAACATTCCTCCAAACGATCATGCTTGTACAGTAGATACCATGAAGCAACTCTCCCCAGTAACCTACTGTTACAAGTCGTTTTCTCACGTTTGTATCTCTTCCTCCCTGAAAACCCACTCCTTCCTTTCCATCTCTTCCATCATCCTCCTCCTCTTGTCCAGCTGGGACACGTCGTCGAGGGGTGGGAGAGATTCTTCCCAGCTCCTCCTGGCTCTGGCCCTCTCTATCAGTTCCACCTCAGCCAGTCCCGCAGGAAGCCCACGGTCTGCCGGGACATGGGGGTGGGGGGAGTTAGCATGTGTCACACGGTTGTTTTTATGTTTATGTCTAGTAGTGGCACAGTATGTGCAGGGACCTGCTTTTACTTGCTCTATGCTTAGAGCAAACAGTGCTGGAGTCCCCATCATGTCAAAACCCGCAAAGCCCTATACCACTGTAAACGCAGCTTCACAGCATGTCTTGTAACCCAGCGGGGGGGGGGGGGGGGTCGTACTCCATGTTAGCGTGGCCAAAGTCAGAAGTTCTGGCACTGAGTCAGCTTTCACCACATAGCTGGGGCTGTAAGGGTCTGTCTGCGCCTCGCTGTCGCGGTAATCAGTCTGCACCCCCTGTGAGCGCCGGAAAGGACCTTGGACAGGGTCCCCACCCCTGTCAGCAGAGGAGTACGGATTGGCTCTGGAAACAGAGACACGGGGCTTTGTGAATCCGGGTTACACCAACACCAATCGGTCAGTTTATTACACCTTAATGACACTGTAGAAGTTCTGGCAGGTGATTTTTTTTGTTATGCCCTAAAATATGACACACAATACCTATAGACAGGGGTGCCGTAAGGGGGAGGAAAGCTAGGACGATTCCAAGGGCCCCTGAGTGACAGGGGCCCTAAAAAATTAGGAAAATAACTGGATTGGTTTGGACTGGGGGGCCTAATATGATATGCTTTCATGGGGCCCAAAATCTCTAGCAACGCCCCTGCCTATAGACATCAGGGAAGCAAACTCACAACGAATCTTTAAAAGAAATTTAAAAACGTATCTCTTCACTCTTCAGGCCTTTAACCAGCTGCTGTATGACCTTCCTGATACAGGCCTGAATCCCTTTTGCACTATGCTTGTACTAATGCACCACCACTTAAAACACTGTATTTAACTTGATCTTATGACTTCTGTGTTTAATGTTAAATTTAGTTATTCTGCGGATACAATTTTTATTTTATTAAGTGGATACGACCTAGGCTTTTACTCTCCTTATTATTTAAATTTCATGATTTTTTTTTTCATTTTATCCATATTATTTCTATGTCTATTTTCACGTATATTATTTACTTCAAAGCACTTTGAGTTGCATTCCTTGCATGAAAGGCGCTATATAGTATATAGTATAAACTCACTTGGGAAGTGACAGTAACGCTTGGGCTGGGAGCTGTGAGAAGGGGATCAGAGGGCTGAAAGGGAGGAATGGGAATTCGGATCGGAGATGATGAGAAAGGAGAAAGAAGAGGAATAAAAACAGATTTAAACACATTAGACACAGGACACAGGAAAACCAGGACACAGGAAACCAGGACTTACACTTTACAGACCTCTGCGGTATCAAGTATTTGACATATTCCATATTTGATAACGATTTGCAGCCTAAATATAAATCACATTTTAAAAAATGTCAACCCTGCAGCAATTAATCTGAGAGCAAGCTCTACTGGTTTCTCCAGCACAGTTTAAGACAGTTAATTAGAACCACGTTTTCCCGTAATTAGCCTATAACCGATCCGATTTCAATATGATGTGAACGAGACGTTTCTTTGAAATGACACACGACTAGACAGCAACACGATAGCGTCTGAATAGTCATAACAATGTCGAATGCAAATTACTCAGTAAGGATATCAAGCTATGTATTGCTGTACTTCAACATAATGAAATCATACTTATGGCAGATTTCCTACCGCTTAAAGAATTTGCACCGATCCGCCCCCGAAACGTTGCAGTTATCCCGGTGGTGACTCCGGAGGCGCGGAGACGCTGGGCTGAAACTGTATTAATTGCAAACATTGTGTATTATAAACAAGAAATTAATCGCACAGAGGCATACATAAGCCTTTACATATAGTAATGATTAAAATAAATAATTAAATCATTAAATCAATGGCATGTTTCCCAGATAAAACAAACAGATGCATTGAATTTAACTCATTTGGGAGACCCGAGTTAGGATGAAAACTGTTGACTTTTTGGCGATGCTCATTTTCGGCATCTTTTTGGTGTTTCTTTACATTATTTTAAGAACCGTCGGGCATAAACTGCGTGCCCCCTCACACACGCCCCTGTTACCCCGCCAGCTGCAGAAGCGCGTCCCGCCGTCGATCCAGATGCCCCCGCCAGCGCCGGTCAATGAAAGCGGGGACGGGATCCTTTGGTTCCAGGCGCAGGCTGTAGCTGGGGTGGTGGGGCAGGCTGCTGAACATGGACTCATAATTGGGAACCCGATTCTGGGAGCCGAGAGTCGATAATTACATCAAAAGTAGGAAGAAGCTGACAGCATGTTATAACGACTGAGAACGATTTAATTTTACTCCATTCAGGATGGATGGACTGTGTTTTTGTATGCTTGACACAAGTAGGTTAGTAATGGTTGTTGAGCATCGTATTCACGCAATGTGGTTACAGTTATGCGTAATTAACACTGATCGTGAATGAGATACCTCCAAAAGCAAGGCAGAGAATTTGGCAAAGGCGTACTGACCAGTCGTTGCCCGGAGGTGTGCGATATGAAGCAAGCCCGTGTGTGGTCCGACTCCCCGGACACTGTGAACAGCGGATCTACGGGAAAACACGCTTTTTAGGCTACATCCACTTTCACAATGGGCGGCCTGCCTCGGCAGCAGCCCAGGTGCGGATATGGCAGGCTCACCCACCGTAAAGGCAATCATATGACCGCTGCTCCATATAGCCCTTAACATCACCCTGGCCAGGGCGATTTACGACGAGAGTCGCGTGTGCGCTCATTTCCACGCCGTTCACGCGGTTGATTTCTGATGCAGCTCGATTTAGTCGCGGTGCCAGCGGCGTAGACGCTGTGCCGTCACCATGGAGACTGGAAACACCCGTGAGATTCCATGGTAACGGACGCGGAAAGGAGCGTTCGCATGTTGTCCGCCAGGAGGCGGAGGTTGATAGTATGAAGAACGATTCTGTTTTCGTTTCAAGAGAGTTTCAAATTTTGTTGTCACGTGTCTGGAGGGTGTAAAAGATACGGAGTAGGATACGGGTTCAAAATAAATAAGGAGTAACAACAGGGATCCAGCAGCTATCGCTGCTTGGACTCCTAATAAATAGGTTGATCATAAGGGTGGTGATTAGGATGTGCAAATCTAAACCACAGTATCGTTAAGTATTGATAAGGTGTAGTAGTGGAATTTTAACAACTGTGTGCATGCAGTGGGTGGAGAGATACAGGTAATCAGTTGTTTGGTGATCTGTTTGCTTGGGGCCCAGAATGGTGTTGGAACAACTGGTTTTGTTGTGGTGGTAGTCAGATAAACAGCTTGTGAGTGCTGTGTGAAAAGTTTATCTATTCAGACATCAGTGGCCTGTACTACGAAGCGGGGTTACTGGCTTATCGGGGTAACTTGTCGGATTTAAGGTAGCACCGTTTAAATGGACCTCATATTCGTTCATTTACATTTTGCCCAGACTACCTTAAATCTGACAAGTTACCCCGTTAAACCAGTAACCCCGCTTCGTAGTACAGGCCACAGGAATGCAGACTAACAGGGTTGTGAAGTCCCCTAGAATAACACAATAACACAGTTGGAATTGTTGGGGGATGTCTCAATCAGTGCATGTGTGCAAAAATAGTTACTACAAACTTTAAAAAGGAAAAAAAACGTGTGGTTGGAACACTTTAAGTGTGAGGTTTTCACAATGAATAAATGCTGAGATGACTAATCGTTAAATCAATTCAGATCGTGGTTCATCATTATATGTTACAAAAAAAAAGAAAGAATGTAATGTTCAAGATTTAAATGCTTGTCCATTATGTCGTGTACGCTGATTTTAATGTATCTTATTTAGGTTTTGTTTTTTGAAATGCGTACATGGCTGCCGTTGCTCTGTCGTACTGCCTTCAAAAAGCGCAGGGAGCCTGAGATAAACTCGTATCGAACACACGGCTGCCCAGATAATTTTCTTAGAAATCTGTCTGTAGATGTAGCTCTCAATATAAATGAGGCTGGAATCCACTTTATCGCGCAATATTATGAAAAAGAATGAACCTGATTAATCTGTGATCTTTAAAAGCTTATCATATCTTAAAAACTGCTAAGAAAATGAGCCCTTCTTCCGTTGCTGAGTCCCGATAAGATCATAAAAGGAGAAGATGGCAGTGAATTCCCAAACCGCACATGTTGCTGATCTTTAGGTGACCAGCGTATTGGGTAATATGGTTCTGATGGGGGGGGACCTCCTGGCTTCAGAGCCACTGCTAACAGTGCCAAGGCTGCAGAACAGATATAAGTGACTTTCATTAGGATTCAGCTTCAAATCTGATTTAAAAAAGCAATTGAAACCAGTTTAATAACTGGGTTTATGATCATTGGCTATAAATAGAAGCTGCCCAGCAAACATGCAGACATTGGTGTAGCATCTACAACCAGGCGTGTGATGTGCACTCTCATGACCAATGAGCTACACAGCTAAACTGGATGGGCCATGGAGAAAAACGAAGCTTCCGAAGCCTAAAACTCTGTAAAGTTGTTTGTGGTAAGATTTACTCTGGATTTTAGAGCCTCAGCTTCTTAATTTACACTGGCCAGAATATTTTAATTTGTAGCTTTTGAACTTCAAATTTCTTTCTCAGTTGGTGATCTTGCATATTTACTGCCTCTTTATTTTTCTTTTAGTTTATTCATTAACCTTGTATTTTTGCATAAAGCAGTAGTTTTTTTTTTTAATTGCTTCAAGTGGTTGTGAAATAAAGCAATTTCACATGCGCGTTTGACTTCTTGACATGAACTTTACTCCATGCGTGTTTTGTAGATGCAGTAAAGAGAGCAAAGCCAGAGCCAGGCACGCAGGATGCTGCAGTTGAAAATGCAGCTACACTCTGGCTTCGCAACGCCAGAGACCGATCTGGAGGAAGACGGCAAAGGCTCATCCGTGCTTTGGACAGAAGTGAACAGGTTGCAAAAGATTTGTAATTCCAGTTTTGATTATTTTGTTTGTTATTAATATCAGTATATTC